ATTGTGTCATATTGTGTCATATTGTGTCATATTGTGTCATATTGTGTCATATTGTGTCATATAGTGTCATATTGTGTCATATTGTGTCATATTGTGTCATATTGTGTCATATTGTGTCATATTGTGTCATATTGTGTCATATTGTGTCATATTGTGTCATATAGTGTCATATTGTGTTTTGCCTAAACATAGAGCTGTAATGTAATTAAGAGCAGAAATGAATAATTTCTTATTGTTCATGTGTCATTAATAAATTTTCTCATTGAACTACGTATCATACATTGACCAGAGATGTAAGAATTATGGTTTGAACTGTCAGATTTTGAGAACTTATGATGCTTTCATTTCTCGCAGGTGATCCACTGCAGCGGCTACCTGAAACGTTGTCAGTACCCAGTGGACACGACCGTGTGCAAATCCAGTTATCAGACCATGGGACTGGTGGCAGTAGGTCACTCCCTTCCCCCCAGTGGACTCACTGAGCTCAAGCTTTACAGCAACATGTTTATGTTTCGTGCCAATCTGGACTTAAAGCTCATCTTTTTGGACATGAGGTAGGTTACATTCGACTTGATTGGCTGAATGGGTTGAAAGCCATTACAGAAGCAAATAAATTTGTTGGTACCCTTATGGTTCATTAAAACAAGGCTGTATTAAAAGTGATTCAGTTTAAAGCAATTGTCTAATGTATATCTGTATTCCTTTAGCACAGGGGTGTCAAACTCACTTACAAAAGGGGGCCAGAGTTAAAACCTTTTTCAAACTAAGGGCCAATTTCATAAACTACATTAACTCAAATCAGATACCAACATCTTTTCTTGGTCATAAGTTCCTCAACAAGAGTTTGATTGGTCTCATTTAATGTTCTCTGTTGAGCTTTCGACATAATCAAAGATTACTGAAATAATCAAGAGATATAAGTCTTTTACGTTTCACATATCATCTTGGGGGCCACATTTGGCCCCCGGGCCTTGAGTTTGACACATGTGCTTTAGCATGTGATAAAGTAAATAAAAAGTGTGAAAATAAATAATTTGCTGTTTATTTCATAAAGTTATGCTTAAATAGTATGGACAGATCTGTTTATAGATTTTGTTAATTAATACTTGCATTGCCATGTAATAAATTAAGTTGTACACATCATTTAATACCACATCAGCCATTCAGCCTGTTTCAATGGACCAAACAGCCAACAGGTAGTTTGGTGTTGTTGTGTGCACTAAAGTGAACATGAAACAGTGAAAGAACAGGAAAGAAACGCCTGAGGAGCTCAGACAGTGGAGTATAGACATCCATGTTTCAAGTAGAAGTCACAAGACCATCTCCAAACACCTTGAAGTGCCTCTTTCCACAGCGGACAAGATTCTGTTTTTTTTTTAAAAGAAAGTTCTTGGGAATGTAGCTAACCTCCCAGGATGCGGATGCAACAGGAAATGCAACCCCAGGTTGATCATACAGGTATTATTATTATTATTATTAATATTATTATTATTATTGTAGCACCCGTACTGCGTAGCTAAAGAATTAACCAATAGGTTAGATTGAAATGTAGTACGTTGGTCGGGGCCCTGGGAACATTATTTTAAAGATAGATGTACTAATAGCTTACAGGAGATACAACTTACTGTTCATATTTAATTTAATGGAGGTGCCTCCACTTAGCAGGGAATTATAACTTTACACTATTGTTTAGTTCTGACCTATGGTATAGAGATTAAGGACTTGGTAATAGTTCCTCAAAATCCTGTTCTGTCCGACCATTTTTTAATAACTTAGAGTTTACATTAAATGACTACACAGTCACTGAGAGTAAAGTTCATCTCAGCAGGTGCTTATCAGAAAATGCTGTAACCAAATTGAAACAATCTCTTCCATCAATGTTTCCTCTGTCCTGCAGAGTAATGCATCAGAGAACAGAGACTTAGATCATCTAGTTGATCATCTTACAACTTCAATGCAAACTTCACTTGATAAAATTGCTCCACTGAAAAAGAAAGTAATCAATCAGAGGAAACTGGCTCCTTGGTTCAATTCTGAGTTACGTACTTTAAAGCAGCATCTAGAAACCAGGAGAGAAAATGGTGCTCTACTAATGTTGAAGAATTTTATTTAACTTGAAAAGATAGTCTGCTAACATATAAAAAAGCTCCCCGTAAAGCTAGAACTTTATATTACTCATCTTTAATAGAGGAGAATAAAAATAACCCCAGGTTTCTGTTTAGTACTATTGCTAGACTAATTAAAAGTCCCATTTCTGTTGAACCATGTATCCCTACAACTATAAGTAGTGATGACTTCATGAGATTCTTTATAAATAAAATTATTTCAATTAGAGAGAGAATTCAAACCATCCTTCCTTCTACTATCTCTAGTCCCCTGTCAGATGATGCAGCTTTAGATATATTTTTAGAACCTGATTTGTGTTTGAACTGGTTTTGTCCTGTTGAGCTCTGAATGGTCAAAAATAATAGTTTCATCCAAACCATCCACATGCCTGCTAGATCCCATCCCAGCCAGACTGTTTAAAGAGGTATTTCCCCTAATTGATGTCCAAATTTTGGATCTGGTTACGTACCACAGTGCAGTTAAGGTTGCTGTAATTAAACCTTTACTTAAGAAGTCCAACTTTGTCCTGATGCATGCTCAATAATCCAGGTAGAAAAATCTAAAAAAAAGTTCCATCTGGTCCTCTGGACATTCAAAAAACAAAACAAACAAAAAATGTAGAAACGTTTCGTCTCCCATCTTGAGGACTTCCTCAGTCTGAGGTGCTGTATTCAGCTCAGTCTCTTAAATAGCACCTTCTCAGAGTGGATCAACCAGTTTGCTGCTGACAACCAGAACCAGCTGATCACATGCTCAAGAAGGACCATCAGCCTAACAATGGATCATTAGCACCTGATGGCTGTTTACTGTTCACAGAGGGCTGAGTGATACTAGCAATCACAGCATTGTAAGAGGGGGACAGTTGAACCTGGAGGCTCCACCCCTGTTTAATGATGAACGGTTTCTTTTCACAAAGATGGCCTCCTTTACTCCTCTCTCAAACCATCGTTCCTCTCTGTCCAGGATGTGAACATCTTCATCCCTGAAAGAGTGACCTCTGGCCTGGAGATGAGTGTAGACCACAGAGTCCTGGCCTGATGATGTTGATCTTCTGTGCTGGTCCATCCTTACACAATATTACTCTGCTGATTAGGAATTTAAAAAACGAGAGCTGACCTCACAGCGAGGATAAAGCTGTAAAACTGTTTGAGATAAATTAAAAAGAATACAAAGATGGTCTGAGATAAAAATGTCCTCCGAAGACAAACAGTCAATGTTCAAACCTGAAGTAAAAACAAGGTCCAAAGTGTGTCCTTTGGAGTGAGTTGGTCCTGACACATGATGAATAAAATTAAAAGACTCCATGACACTGATGAAGTTCTTGGCCAAGGAGTCAGTGACATCATCAACATGAATATTAAAATCCCCAACAATGACCAGCCTGGACAGCTTTAAAGAAGCTAAAATCCTTTAAAATGTGCCCTTTGGACCTGGTTGACGGTACACCACTGCACAGTAAAATGGGTCCTTAACCCAATTTTAATCAGCTGCAGCTCAAATGATACAAAAGTCCAACATTAGATGTGCAGCAGGAAAAGCCACGTCTAAACGTGGCTGCAAGGCCTCCTGCACGGCCTGACAGGCTGGCTGAGGCAGTTTGACACCAGTTTTGTTGTAAATTTAACAAAATGTGATACATTATTTCTAAAATGTATTTTTAAGTTTTTAAGTTGTTTATTTTAACATATTTACTGTAGATGACTGACGGGCGGGGGTGGGGGGGGGGAGTAGCCCTCTTAGCTCACTGATACCAGCCGTGTGACTGTTTGTAAGGAAGGATCCGCGTTGACACGGTCGGATTTTTGGATTACATGCATCCGGAGGACACCCCCCCCCCACGCCCTCCCGAATCCGCTGTAGTTACCATGCCGGGTCATTAGATGATGCTGTGAATTTTGTACCTTCACCTAATGTGCATGCTGCTGCCTCAGCATGCTCCTTTCCTCTGGGCTGGATTCTGGATAAAAGAGTCGACAGATCTGACTCCAGGCGGGACGTTTCGTCTAACAGCTCCACACCGGTCGCTGAGTGGACCAGAACCGAGTTGACGATGTCGGACTTTACTCCGTGATAATCAGTAGCTGATTACAGCAGGTAAATCAAATGTTCTTAATAATGTTAGTTTGTGTTTACTTCGATCACACAACAACCAACTTTTTTATTTTTCCTGAAAAAAGAAGAAGCTGTCTCCCACCAGGCAGACCGGTTCTGAACGAGGCTCGGCCCAGGTGCAGGAGGACGTTGAAGAGAGATGTTGGATGAACTATTTATTTAAAATTCCCCTCAGTTCTTTTATTCAATCCATTCAATGCTTTAATCTGCATTAATCCAAGCAGTGACAGCCTGAACGAGCCAGATGAACAACGTGGGACATCCAGGATGAAAACAAGAGTCCAGTTCATTAACGCAGTTTACTGTTAACTTGTTTTAATAGTGTGTTCAGTTTAATTATCAGTGTTTGTGTAACATACAGTTTGTGGTGTTGAATAAATAAATAAAAATTAAACCTGATGTCTTCATTTTCAACTTTAGTGTTCATGCTACATGTTTAGCATCATTTTAAATTTGAATTACATAATGTCCAGATAGCTTCATTTAGCTCAGAGCTTCATTATATATCGCAAACGTAACATAAATACTGTTTATTATTATTATTTCATTTTTTTTTCATTTAGCCTTTATTTATCCAGGTTAGTCTCATTGAGCCACGAGAACTCATTTTCAAGAGAGACCTGTTTTAGGGAGCACATGGTGGGGGTTAAGGACCTTGCTCATGGGCCCAGAGTGGGGCGAATGAGGGTGGGGGCTAGTGTGGGTGTTTCACCTACCCCACCCACAATTTTTGATGTTGTCGGGGCCGGGGCATGAACCGGCGATCTTCGGATCACAAGCCCACCTCTCTAACCTCTGCGCCACCACTCCCCTAAAATGGGACATTTAATAGAATAGCACATTTAGTATGTTATAGTGCTTACACAGCTAAAAATATATACCTATATTTTGAAATGTTTTTATTTTAGTATTTCATTTTTATTAAAATTTTAAGTCGTCATTGTAAAATGGTGAGTGGTTCCAGTGGGTGAGCGGCACCCTAGTGCCCCCCACAGACCAGCCACCCCTGCGTCTACAAATGAAATAGGTCAAGTTGATTTATTTCAGAGATTCTTTATTTTCCTACGTAAAGTCAAGTCAGTGAGATGATTCAGTTTAGTTTGGTGTTAATTTTCGTGAAAGAGTGGCAGATTATTGTGAAGTTTTGGTCAGAACAGCTGATTTTTGTTTATTAAATATAGCGTGCCCCACCCACCAGCACTTTTAAGCTGACGTGTCCGAGCGAGTTTTATTTTATTGTTGTTTACAAATTGTTCTTTAACATACTCATATTTCTAAGCTCTAGAAAATATTTTAAAGAACTCTCCTGAGTGTGTATAAGCTCCCGTTTAGACGGGGGTTTGTTCCAACTTTCACTCATGTCATACCAATGAACGTGACATGCATGTTTTTGGTTCATGGGAGGAAACTGGAATACCCTTCGACAGCCCATGCATGTATATTGGGAACATGTAAACTCCATCTGGAAATATTGGGAGGCAATCCTGTGACCTTCCTTCTGCGAGGCGACTGCTCTAGTCACTTCACCACCTTTGGTTTGAGCTCACTGAACAAAAATGTTTAAGACTTTTGATACTGTTTCCTGTTTATTTAATAGGTTTTCATTTATGAATGAATATTTATATATATATGAATATTTCCATAAGTATGCTTAAATGTAATTTGTTGTCTTGTTAAGAAAAAGGGGACTTTGTATAAGTATTAACTTCTTCCTGCTCTCTCTTTTTTTGGTTTAACTTTGTCAGACTTTTGTGTTTATGGATTAATGACCATAAAATAAGTGAAATGAAAAGATAAGATGTATGAATAGAAACACTATGGGGTAGCTGCCAGTTTTTTAATACACAACTTGCATGTTAGGAAAATGTTTGGATGCCCTGCAGGAAACTGAAGTGAAACTAATTGTCTAACTTGTGCCCTGTTTTCTGTGTGCTGGAGCCAGGGTGGCTGAGCTGACAGGCTACGAGCCTCAGGACCTGATAGAGAAGACCCTCTACCACCATGTTCACACATGTGATGTTTTGCAGCTACGCTACGCTCACCATATATGTGAGTCTCACAAATCTCTGGTCAAATGCATGGGTGGTCATCTACTTTCCCAAATGCCCACTGCTAATGCAGAGACTGGCCCAACAGGCTAAACTCAATTCTGAAAATAAATAAATAAATAAAATAAAAAATAACATAAATAATAATAATAATGAAAATTTAAATGTTATAAATTTAGTAAACATTTAGAAAAAGATTTGTGAAAAAGGGCATGCTTTGCATTTCCAGCATCAAATTAACAACAACAAAAAAATCTCTGTTGAAAGAACTCTATTTTTTATTGGGCTTGAATAAGTGTAGAACCACTAGACTGAGGAACAGCTTCTACCCTGAGGCTGTTAGACTCATGAATCTCTAACTAGAATAATCACTGTGAAAAACCATATCATGTTGCTGCTGATCTGTTTCATGTTGCTGCTGATCTGTTTCATGTTGCTGCTGATCTGTTTCATGTTGCTGCTGATCTGTTTCAATGTTGATGTGTTCATGCGTGCACATCTGCTCACAGACTCATGTTCATGTTTGTGCTGATGTTCAATGTTTTATGTTATGAGTGCTTAGTGTATATTTAGTTGATGTTTTTCTTAGTTCATATCTTAGATGTTATTACTGTTTTTCTTATACATTTTATTGTTGGATGTAACTGGGACCCTGTGTACATAATTTCGCTCCACCACATGTACCACATGAGGTGCGAATGACAATAAAGAATCTCTGACTCTGACTCTGATAAGAAAGAATTGAACAAGTCAAGTAGACATAAAACACCTGCCAATGATTTTCTGCCTTCTAATTCATGGGAGGTCCACATACAATCCTTCCATCCATCCATTATCTTCACCCGCTTCTTCCATTTTGGGTCATAGGGGTCACCAGTGCCCATGTCCATCAATCACTGTGCGCGGGGCGGGGTACACCATGTGTAGGGGCAGTTTCAGATGTGCATGCCAGCCATTTGCAGAATGAGTTTTATTTCCTGGAAGTCTGACTCCCCAATCTACATGTTTTGTAGACCTGGTTTCTAGAGGCTAGGGTCATTTTTATGGGTTTCCATTCCTGCATGACTAAAGCAAGAGATGCGTCTTCATCCTTGACACAAAGTCAAGCTTATTCTCGATGCGGGTTGGACTCCATCAGGACTGTCCCTTATCTTCAATCCTGTTGGCAGTGTTCATGGACAGGATCTCAAGGTGGCATCATGGAGAGAAGGGTATCAAGTTTGGGAGCAATAGGGACTTGTTTCTGCTATTTGCAGATGGTGGCTTCAAGCCATGATGTTCAGCATGCACTGAAGCAGCTGGGATTAGAGTCAGCTCCTCCAAGTGTGAGGTCATGTTGCTCAACTGGAAAAAATATTAAATGCTTCCTTTTGTTAGGGGTGAGACATCGCTTCAAGCCTAGAAGATCAAGTACCTGATTTTTGTTCTTGAGTGATGGTAGGATGGAAAGGGAGAAGAACCAATAGACTGAGGCATCAGCTGAAGTAATGAAGATGTTGCTCCTATCTGTCATGAAAAGAAGGAAGCTGGATTCTGTAGGGTGTCTCAGCTCCAAGGATGAAAATCTCCATCATCTGGGGTAATTCAAAGTAAAACTACTGCTCTTTCACACCTAAAGGAGTCAGCTGCAGTGGTCTGGGTGTCTGATTAGAATGCCTCTTGGAGATTTTTGAGGTAAGTCCCATTAGGAGTAGACCCTGAGGTAGACCTAGAACTTGCAGGAGATTTATATCTTCTGGCATGTGAAGACCTTGAATCCCTCTCTGGTTTTTCCTTCTAAACCTTCAAACATCCTGACTTGAGAGAGTCAAGCATAGAGATTTTTCGTTTGATAAATCCCATAATTAGGGAGGCCACTAGGGAGCACAAGCCAGTGTATCTCTAGTGCCAGTCCCAAGCCCAGGTAAATGATGAGGGTTGTGTCAGGAAGAGCACCTGACGTCAAACACTTGCCAAAACTATAATGAAAGTTCATCAAAGTGAAACCATACCGGATCGGTCGAGGTCCGGGTTAATGACATCCAACTGTTGTTCTGTTGACAAACAGGGTGCCGGTGGAAATTATGCTACTATTAGTCAAAGACCACAAGGAGGGAAACATGTCAGGAGACAGAGGAGAAGAGGAAAGTCAAGAATGTAGGACTGAGGGTAGCAACTCTAAATGTGGAGACAATGACAGGCAAAGGTAGAAAGCTGGCTGACATGATGCAGAGAAGGAAGGTAGATGTTTTATGTGTCCAAGAGACCAAGTGGAAGGGCAGCAAGGCTCGCAGCATTGGAGCAGGGTTCAAATGTTTTACCATGGTGTGGATAGAAAGAGAAATGGAGTAGGGGCGGTCCTGAAGGAGGAGTTGGCAAAGAATGTAGTAGAGGTGAAAAGAGTGTCAGATAGGGTGATGTGCCTGAAGGTAGAAGTAGAAGGTCTGATGCTACATGTTGTCAGCGGTTATGCTCCACAGGTTGGACATGATGTGGAGGAGGAAGATACATCTTGGAAGGATCTGGATGAAGTGAAAGATAATATAAAGCAGATCTGAATGGACATGTTGGTAAAGGAAACAGAGGGGATGAGGAAGTGATGGGTACATTTGGTGTCAAGGAAGGAAACCAGGAAGAACAGCTGGTGGTGGATTTTACCAAGATAATGGAAATGGCTGTAGTCAATACATATTTCCAAAAGAGGGAGGAACATAGAGTGACCTATAAAAGTGGAGGAAGGAGTACGCAGGTCGACTACATTCTGTGTAGAAAAGGAAACCTGAAGGAGCTTGGGGACTGTAAGTTTGTGGCAGGGGAAAGCGTGGCCAGACAGCATCGGCTGGTTGTGTGTCTGAACAGAATGGCTGTTGTTGTAAAGAAGAGAAAAAGAGTAAAATCAGAGAAGACCAAATGGTGGAAGCTGAAAAAAGAAGAATGTTGTGAGAAATTCAGAGAGGAGCTGTTAAAAGCTTTGGGTGGTAACAAAGAGCTTCCAGATGACTGGACTACTACAGCAACAGTAGTTAGAGAGACAGGTAGGAAGGTACTTGGTGTATCACCTGGACAGAGAATGGATGATCAGGAAACCTGGTGGTGGAATAGTGAAGTGCAGGAAGCTGATCAAAGAAAGAGGTTAGCCAAGAAGAAATATGACAGTTAGAGGACTGAAGAGAGGAGACAGGAATATAAGGAGATGGAATATAAAGCAAAGAGGGAAGTAGCTAAGGCTAAGCAGAAGGCATATGATGAGTTGTATGGGAGGCTGGACACTACAGAAGGTGAGAAGGACTTGTACAGATTGGTGAAACAGATGGATCAAGCTGGAAAGGATGTGCAGCAGGTTAGACTTGTTAAGGATAGGAATTGTAATGTTCTACCACTGTAACACTTGCTCTTGTCAAGGGCGGATGCCTTTCTTCGCCTCTCCCTCTCTGCTTTGCTTTGTCATGTCTGTGAAACTGATTTTGAGCCTCTCTTCTACAAATCTTCCAAATCTTAATTCTGCTATGGATTTGGGCAGTTGGTCCCTCAGCGCAATTGATAACATTTCTTTGACGAGATGACAGGCTTTAGGCAAGCCGACTTGCCCTGTTGGCATGCACGCAGCTGAATATATCATCGAGGTGGAAGACTTGGTGATGTGTCTATCTCTGCTGTCAAATGAGGATGTTAAGGACGCATATATAATTGGATTTATGATAACTGGTTTCCTGCTTTTTGGATTCAGCTGGTTCTGGTCTATCAACAAACAAGGAAATCGTCTGCAGCAAATTTGGCCCTGGTCAGGCTGCCTGCCTTAGGTGATAGCTTGATTCATGCCTCGAGCACCCAGACTCAATTGCTTTGTGAACTTTGGCAGGATGGATCAGATCTCGAGGAATAGTCTCAGGTACAGACAGGTATGGCCACTTAATTTGGACGTTTTGGAACTGAGTGGACCAATACAGACTCAAAGTAAACATAATTTGTAAAGTTCTGTCTGTCCCCAAAACAATCATATTTATCTGAATTCGGATCCCTGACTGGCCTTAACAGGCCATCTTATCTTAATCTGCCTGGAGGCTCTGTAAACCTGATGCTCTGCACCCCCACTTCCACAGAGAAAGTATATGGATCAATCAGAGGGGCCTGGCTGAATAAACATTGTCATCATTTCAGGACTCTTTGGATTCTATCTGACGCCATCCTTGGCCGACTTTGGCACCACCAAGAGTGTTTAAGGATCTCTCCAGAGGGAACTATATGAACTAAGCAATTATACCACTCTTTTTGGAACTCTTGCAGTGCCTCAGTGAGTGTCCCTGGACCTGCTCATCGCTCTTGCGTGTC